GCTCCCACTTCCGGTCCGATCGCCTAGGCGATTGGAAACGGAAGGTGTCCTCCCCCCTCCCTATAGTCTTTTGGGACACGTGACAGGTCCCAGAAGTCTACAGGACCATTCATGAAGCGCAGCGCTACTCGCACATGCGCAGTGGGCACCTGGCTGTGAAGCCGCAAGCTGTCACAGCCGGGTGCCCACACTGAAGATGCCAGGAATACAGGACGGCCGGTGAAATGGGCTGCAGGGGACACACCGTGGGACCGAGGGACAGGTAAGTGGCTGTTTTTTAAAAGTCAGCAGCTACAGTTTTTGTAGCTGCTGACTTTTATTTTTTGACAGGGTGAGTGGAACTCCGCTGTAAGAACAGGCTACGGCCTCTCTATTGCAAGGTTTGTCAAACAGGGTTCCATTTTGATTCCGCCATTGCATTCGATTTACATTGGCTCATTGGTAGCTGTATTGCCCTAAGACATAGGGGTTGATTTACTAAAGACAAATAGACTGTGCACTCTGCAATGAAATTGCTCCAGAGCTTAGTAAATGAGCAGAAGCTCTGATGATTCCCATCATCCAATCACATGCAAGCAAAAATTCTGTTTTTTTTTTCCCCTGCATGTGATTGGGTATTCTTGGCAAAGCAAAGCTTCACCTCATTTACTAAGCTCTGGAGCAATTGCACTTTGCAAAGTGCACTGTCTATTTGTCTTTAGTAAATCAACCCCATGGTTTCACTGAATATTGACCGCCAGATTGATATCAGCCCAGCAGTACTCTTGGACCTCTGGCTCATGACGTTGCCACAAGGTAGCAGTGCGGGACGAGAGGCGCGATTTTCATAGCAACAGCAAAGCATGGGAAGAATGGAATGAGCAGGAGGAGCATCTGCAGCTGTATGTGCTACTGAGAACGCTGGAGGAACGGGGTCTGAACAATGAAGGTAACCCTTGGGAGTCATCAGATCTGTATGTGGAACTGAGTAAGAAGCAGGGGTGGACTGACAACTCATGGGGCCCCCGGGCAATAGGGGATCATAGGGCCCCTGTGTCCTTGCCCAAACTCAAAAAAGCCTATGAAAAAGGTCCCAGGGGCATCTCATGGGGCCCCCTACTGACCCCGGGCCCTCGGGCAGTGCCCAAGTTTCCAAATGGTCAGTCCGCCCCTGGTAAGAAGTGACTATTGGGCGCATTAACTGAATAGACTGGTAAGTATGAGCATTTGTTCGACTTGAACCGGGAAGTTAGCTGTCACTGCTGGGCCAATGAACTGGAGATTCCCCATCCAGCAGCTACACATACAAATGAAAAGGGATGCCTATGACATCTTTGACCTGATATGGCCACACGGTCACATTAGGTCAATGACATGGACATAAAAAAGCCATGTGTCTATATAAGGTCAATGATGTCATGAGCATCCCCTCCCCTGTGTACGTCGGCAGTGGGGTGGGGAATCTCCCGGCCGCAGCTCATTGGCTAACTTCCGGGTTTTACATGGAGCGCAAGTAGAAAAATTTAATATTTACTCTTTTATTTTTTGTTCTATCTACAACTCAATAAACCACGCTAATGTTCTATGAGCTGCAGATCAAAAAACTCTGCTCTGTTGTAATTTGTGAGGATGAATTACTCCATACTGCATCTACATCTTTTATTTGTTGATCTATCTTAACTCAATATTCACCCTAATGTTCTTTTAGTAGGCTGTAGAGGAAAAAAACTATTTCAGGGGTTCTACGAGATCTGAGAATTTTTTTCAATGGTTCCTTTCAGGATAAAAAGTTTGGGAACTCTGTTCTGTTGTAATCTTTGAAGAGGAATTACACCATAGTTCATTGACATCTTTTATTTGTTGTTCTATCTACAACTCAATAGTTGCACTGATGTTTGGTCAGTTGTACATCAAAAATTATTTTAGGGATTCTCCGAGATCTGAGGATTTATTCAAGGGTCTCCTTCCAGGATACAAAGTTTGGGAACTCTACTCTGTTGTAATGTCTGAAGATGAATTATTCCACAGAGCATCTACATATTATATTTGTTGTTAAATTTACAAATCAGCAATCACACTAATGTTTTGTGAGCTGTAGATCAAAAAACTATTTCAGGGGTAATTTCTGAGAATTAATTACTCCACCGTGCATCCACATCTTTCATTTTTGTATTATATTAACAACTCAACAATCACATTAATGCTCTGTGAGCTGTAGATAAAAAAAACTATTTCAGGGGTTCTCTGAGATCTGAGAATTTTTTCAAGGGTCCCTTACAGGATCAAAGGTTTGGGAATTCTGCTGTGTTGTAATTTCTGGAGATGAATTACTCCATAGTGCATCTATATCTTTTATTTGTTGTTAGATCTAAAACTCAATATTGGCACTAATGTTACGTGAGCTGAAGATCAAAACATCATTTCAGGGGTACTCTGAGATCTGAGAATGTTTTCAAAATTCTAATCCAGGAGAAAAAGTTTGGTAACTCTGCTGTGTTGTAATTTCTGAAGATGAATTACTCCACAGCGCATTTACAGCTTTTGTTTGTTGTTATATCTATGACTCAATATTGGCACTAATGTCCCATGACCTGTAGATCAAAAAACTATTTCAGTGGTTCTCAGAGATCTGAGAATTTTTTCAAGGTGTTCCTCCAAGGTACAAATGATGAGAAAGTCTGCTCTGTTGTGATCTCTGAGGATAAATTACTCCACCATGCATGCAGCTACAGAGGTCAATGGGAGCTTGTTTCTAAGCAGAAACATATTACCCCCCCCCCCCCCCCCCCCCCCATTTTTATCAAGGTGTTCCTCCAAGGTACAAATGTCGAGAAAGTCTGCTCTATTGTGATCTCTGAGGATAAATTACTCCACCAAGCATGCAGCTACAGAGGCCAATGGGAGCTTGTTTCTAAGCAGAACATTTTTATACCCTCCCCCCCCCCCCCCATTTTTATCAAGGAGTTCCTCCAAGGTACAAATGTTGAGAAAGTCTGCCCTATTGTGATCTCTGAGGATAAATCACTCCACCATGCATGCAGCTACAGAGGTCAATGGGAGCTTGTTTCTAAGCAGAACATTTGTATTCCCCCCCCCCCCCCCCATTCCTGCACTATTCATCACCTCCAAAATACAGCACTGTCCCCCTCCACTGCCGCTTGTTGCTGAGCTGAATGACATCACTCTGAATTCCCCCTGGGGCACGTGTTCATGCTGGCCTGGGCTCACAGTCCTGCAGGAGCCCGAGCCAGACAACAAGAGGAAGAACTCATGACGTCAGCAGAAAGGAGGATAGATGGAGTTAAAGATATGCATGTAAGGAATTTTTTTTTTTTTGAAAGCAGGAACAGAGGGGGCTCGGGGAGTGGGGTGGGGGGACAGAGTGGCTGGGGGCTGGAGATCTGCTTTAAAGCTCATTTACTGTCTACAGACTGGATACAGGACCACTTTAACATGGCTGACTGTGACTGGTAGGGGGGACGTACAAGTTAAATAGCCTATGGTGAAAAATTCAGCACCCTTCCTGTGTGTACAATACGTGGAAATCAGATTAAAAGGCACTTAACATCTCTCTAAACCCAAGAAATTTCCACTATTATTGTGTTTCATAACCTGAGTCGCAGCCTAGCTCAATACATCATTTTAAAGCCAACTAAGGTACTAAACGCACACACCGCGTCTTAAACCCGGTCCTATGTCTATACATTCACACCTTGAATTTTGGTGGCTTCCTAACAATTTGCAATACTTTCAAGTCTTTACAGGAACTGAACTTTAAAAATGCGCTTCCATCGCTTCTAATGGTCCCCTATACTGTCCGATTTTTTTATTTTTACAACAACAACGTATTGAAGAACAATATGTGAAATATATTTCTATGTGAAATCTGCACAAAATAGATAGAGCTTTTTTTTTTTTTTTTTTTTTTTTGCATAAGTAAAAATCTAAATTTTCTGCAACAAAATAAAACCTAAATGATTCATAGTGTATAGGCGTAATGGAAATGAATGCCAAATAATGTGCTTTTTTTTTTTCATTTTGCTGACTGAAACAAACACAAACCAAGACTTCCAAAAAAAATTTCCACCTGCAAGCCTCCATAATTTTTCACCAACACTACCATCCAAGGCCTCCGCAGCTGCCAATCCGTTCCCAAATTGTGACCGGCACCTAAGGGGCGCCTACCAGTGTTTCATCTCCTGCACTTACTCCGTCACCTAAACGCACGTACCGGCCTCCGAACACTCCGCTACAAATCGCAGACAATACCAAAACAGCAAAAAAAAAAAAAAAACACCAATAATCGCGGACTGGGTGGCAAAAAAAAAAAGATTAAGTCTCATTTTTCTAATCCAAATTATATCAACAAAAATTTTTTTTAAGGTTTTGTCAAAACCGCAAGAGTTTTTGGAGGACCTTTGCGAAGGCGAAATAGCTTCATCCACTTCCGTCGCTTTAATTGGCCATGAAATACAACAAGAGCAGCTTCAAGTTTAAGGTATTCTTCCATTGAAAAGTCCTTTTATCACTAAGAAAAGTCTTCTGGAGAAACATAAAAATCAAAGTTGTGTGATTTCAAAAGCGTTTTTTCATAAAAAGTTTCAGTTCCTCGTCTTCTGTAAGTTCAGATAACCATTCCTCGTTAGTTTGTGGGTTTGGGGTGTATGTCAAGGAGTTAAGGGCTTTCGCTCTCTAACCCAGGCGAATACAGACTGAAACGTTCAAAAAAAAAAAAGAAATATTAGTTCAGAATACTTGTGATTTTGGTATCGAAACAGCCAATTGAAAACCCACAAACCATACTGGTGCTGTGGCTTTATGCAGCTTTAAAACAATAAAAAATGCAGGTGGGGGGGAGGGGGGGGGGGAACAGGAGGGCCGGATCAGAGAAAATTGGGGCCCGTGTGCTCAGGCCAAAAGGTGAAGAGGCCAAGGTGAATCTCCTGCCCTTCTGCAGACCAGCAGCATTGTTAACCGGAGTGCCTGCCATTCCTACAGAAACCCGTCCCGATTTGACGTCATTAGCTGGCAGTTCTGCGCTGTTTTAGGACGCTGTATACATCGTCCACCTTGCTTATTCTCTCAAAGAAGGGTATAAGGTCTAGGAGCTCAGTGTCAGACATGTCGTCAAACCAAGATATCACTGGAACCTGCAAAGCAAAAAAAAAAAAAAAAAAAAACCCAAACAATTAAAATCAACATGTAATGTCTAATATACACATAAAATATCTTCCCTTGTCCCGCCATCCCCCCACTTCCCCTTTCGTGACCAACATGCAAATATAATTTTTCAATCAAAATACTTTTTTTTTTTTTTTTAAAAAAAAACCTCTTTTGAAACAGAGTGACATTATCACTAGGTCTTTGCTTTGAGTTTGGTTGGAGGGGCCAGAAAGCTAAGGTAAACAGCACAGCACCCTGCCTCAGATCTTCATCTAAGAGGGTTATAAAAAAAAAAAAACATCCCTAGCAATGTTTTTCCTTGCTGGGTAATAGGTGCTTCAAACTTTAATTGTGCAATCTGCTAATCAGTTGCTTGATTTGTAATCAAGCAACTGATCAACAGATTGCACAGCTAAAGTCTGCACCACCCAGGGAGTATGCACATCTACAGGGATGTGTTCTTTCATATAATGCTTAGGAACAAAATAATTGATAGCAGAGAAAAGCTGTGAGAGGAGGGCAACAACATTATAGAGAGGGAGAGGGGATTGATGAAAAGTTGTTCAGGGAGGAAAAGAAGGCAGGCTCAAGACAGTTGTTGCATCTTCGAATGGTTACATTGAGGAGATGCAAGTTTTCAGGGGATTAACTAATGGAAATAGTACTGGCAGTATAGCTGCATAATTCTGGGAGCATAACAGTATGGCTCTGGTAAAATAACTGTATGGTTTTGGGAGTATAACTATAGGGATCTGGGAGTATAACTATAGGGATCTGGGAGTATAACTGTAGAGTTCCGGGAGTATAATGTGTAGAGTTCCGGGAGTATAACTGTAGCGTTCCGGGAGTATAACTGTAGCGTTCCGGGAGTATAACTGTAGCGTTCCGGGAGTATAACTGTAGGGTTCCGGGAGTATAATTGTACGGTTCTGGGAGTATAATTGTACGGTTCTGGGAGTACAACTGTACGGTTCTGGGAGTACAACTGTACGGTTCTGGGAGTACAACTGTACGGTTCTGGGAGTACAACTGTACGGTTCTGGGAGTACAACTGTCTGGTTCTGGGAGTACAACTGTCTGGTTCTGGGAGTACAACTGTCTGGTTCTGGGAGTACAACTGTCTGGTTCTGGGAGTACAACTGTCTGGTTCTGGGAGTACAACTGTCTGGTTCTGGGAGTACAACTGTCTGGTTCTGGGAGTACAACTGTCTGGTTCTGGGATTAGAACTGTACGGTTCTGGGAGTAGAACTGTACGGTTCTGGGAGTGGAACTGTCTGGTTCTGGGAGTGGAACTGTCTGGTTCTGGGAGTACAACTGTCTGGTTCTGGGAGTACAACTGTCTGGTTCTGGGAGTACAACTGTCTGGTTCTGGGAGTACAACTGTCTGGTTCTGGGAGTACAACTGTCTGGTTCTGGGAGTACAACTGTCTGGTTCTGGGAGTACAACTGTCTGGTTCTGGGAGTACAACTGTCTGGTTCTGGGAGTACAACTGTCTGGTTCTGGGAGTACAACTGTCTGGTTCTGGGAGTACAACTGTCTGGTTCTGGGAGTACAACTGTCTGGTTCTGGGAGTACAACTGTCTGGTTCTGGGAGTACAACTGTCTGGTTCTGGGAGTACAACTGTCTGGTTCTGGGAGTACAACTGTCTGGTTCTGGGAGTACAACTGTCTGGTTCTGGGAGTACAACTGTCTGGTTCTGGGAGTACAACTGTCTGGTTCTGGGAGTACAACTGTCTGGTTCTGGGAGTACAACTGTCTGGTTCTGGGAGTACAACTCTCTGGTTCTGGGAGTACAACTGTCTGGTTCTGGGAGTACAACTGTCTGGTTCTGGGAGTACAACTGTCTGGTTCTGGGAGTACAACTGTCTGGTTCTGGGAGTACAACTGTCTGGTTCTGGGAGTACAACTGTCTGGTTCTGGGAGTACAACTGTCTGGTTCTGGGAGTACAACTGTCTGGTTCTGGGAGTACAACTGTCTGGTTCTGGGAGTACAACTCTCTGGTTCTGGGAGTACAACTGTCTGGTTCTGGGAGTACAACTGTCTGGTTCTGGGAGTACAACTGTCTGGTTCTGGGAGTACAACTGTCTGGGTTTCTCATACCGCATTGTCTGGGTGGAATATATAGGAGGCAGGAGAATTGTCAATGATGATCAGCTTATTCAGGTCCCTCCCCAGTCGGCTCAGATCCTTGACGTAATTCCCTCGATGGAAGGCACAAGATTCCCGGAACAGGCGGGCCCGGAACGCTCCCCATTTGTCAAGCAGATCCGCCACGGGGTCAGCGTACTGTGATTGAGAGATATTGAGAAGAGATTAAAGTGTATTTAAACTCCAACAATTACCGTCTTTTTTATTTGCCCCCTTTTGGTCTGTTCTTATATCTGATATGTGCAAATAAAACCTTCTGATCTGGTCAGGAATTCAGAACTGTCCTGTCTCCTCTGCTCTGTTTCTGTGTAATCTCAAAGGAGCAGATCTACCTACTAGGATAGGTAAGTGGTCATTTAACAGTTCTGTTGCTGAATATGTCATCTGACATTGTCCTAAGGGCCCGTCGATGGGCGAATGCAACTTGTATTCAGGTGGATTCTACTTGCATTGGAGATGAGTTTGAGGGACTTCTGAGATAATTTAGAGTTCACTTACAAGTGCATTATGAACAGTCCTGAGGCACCCTTTAAAAATTATGAACAGTCCTGAGGCACCCTTTAAAAATTATGGACAGTCCGGAGGCACCCTTTAAAATTATGGACAGTCCCGAGGCACCCTTTAAAATTATGGTCAGTCCTGAGCCACCCTTTAAAAATTATGGACAGTCCGGAGGCACCCTTTAAAATTATGGACAGTCTTGAGGCACCCTTTAAAATTATGGACAGTCAAGAGGAACCCTTTAAAAATTATGAACAGTCCTGAGGCACCCTTTAAAAATTATGAACAGTCCCGAGGCACCCTTTAAAATTATGGACAGTCCTGAGGCACCCTTTAAAATTATGGACAGTCCTGAGGCACCCTTTAAAAAATTATGAACAGTCCCGAGGCACCCTTTGAACAAAAATTATGGACATTCCTAAGGCACCCTTTAAAATTATGAACAGTTCTGAGACACCCTTTAACCTCCCTGGCGGTCTGATTATGTCTATATTTCTGTGCTCAAAGCGGTACTTTTTTTTGCATGGAAATATGTATTTTTTTTTATTGTAGGCCTGTAATTCTTAGGAATAACTCACTGAAATCTGTCCGAACAAGAGTCTAGTAAACATCCCGGGTAGGATAAAATTTGAAACACGAAATCATAAATTATAATTTAATAAATAATCATAAAAAATAATATAATAATAAATGTAATTCAATAATATAATCAAACCAAAAACACTGAAATTTGAAATATAGCGCCAAGTTCGCACATCACTGAGCAAAGTCGCGGAATCGTTTTCAGTGTCTGATGAGGAATTTCCCCCACGAATCATTATCACTCAATTCTGCAAGTGGTTCTGATTTACTATCACTGTTCTCTAGTTGGTCTAAAACCGCTTTTGACCTAAAGGGATACTTTTTGGACGCCATGGACGTTTCTCAGTTTCCAGGCAGAAAGAACAGTAAAAAGGCAGACAGGGCGCCGGACAAAGCACTCGGGACAAAATGTATGTGAAATGGTTTGATACAGGAATGTTATACTATGTGATTTTAGTGAATGTCACTTTTAAAATTTTAGAATTTCCCGCTAGTTCCGTCCCCCGTACGTCACGTACGTTCTGGGAACGGAACCCGGAAGACAGATGCTGGCATCTGCCGGAGGACATTACAGGGGACACTGCAGGAGGGACATCGCGGGAGCGCAGGACAAGGTAAGTGAAGAAGAGATCCCGGAGCAGTGCTGCAGTGTATTCCCGAGTGTAGCTCGGGGTTACCGCTTGTGGTACTGAAACTTTACCCCGAGCTACACTCGGGAATACCGCCAGGGGGGTTAAAAATTATGGACAGTCCTGAGGCACCCTCTAAAATTATGGACAGTCCTGAGGCACCCTTTAAATTTATGGACAGTCCCGAGGCATACTTTAACATTATGGACTGTCCTGAGGCACCTTTTAAAATTATGGACAGTCCTGAGGCACCCTTTAACATTATGGACAGTCTTGAGGCACCCTTTAACATTATGGACTGTCCTGAGGCACCCTTTAAAATTATGGACAGTCCTGAGGCATCCATTAAAGTTAAAATGTATTCTTCGAAAGCAAATACACTTTTGTACACTGGTACTGACTAGTATTCCAATGTTTCTCCTCTCTCTCAGTTTTTCTCCATCACTAAGCTAGTGTAACCTCAGCGCTGATGGAGAGGGACAGGGGAGGGTCAAACTAGGATGCTGTGCAGGCAGCTGACATCCTCCTTAACAACTGATGTGATTGGTTGTTAGGACGCCGGCGGTTAGAAGGTCTTAATGGTACACAATGAAAACCTTTGGCTTTGTGTAACTAAAAGGCCGGCTTGTTCCACCCGCTGGCTTGTATGCAATTTTTGGGCAATTTTTAGACATTTTGCCAAGGCACCCCTGAAGAAACCTCAAGGCACCCTGGTTGAAAAAAGGCTATTCTAGGCTGATTCAAACCTGCTTTTACATTCCCATTGACCTAAGGATCTAGCTGCGACGCTTGCATGGATTTCTTGCTCATAACCCATTGTAGCAATTCAAGAAGAGAAGCAAGACCACAATCAAAGGTAGGGTTTCTCAACCAGGGTTACGTGGAACCCGAGAGTTCCTCCAGGGGTTGCTAGGGGTTTCATGAGCAATTTCTGCCTCTCAGGTAAGCTCTCACTGACATAATTGATCTTTTTAGCTATCTGTAAGGGGGTAATTCTTCCCAATGACCACAAGTGTAAGGAGCATTCTTCTCACTGACCATCACACTAATGTATCATGAGTTGTAGATATAGTAATATTTAGCAGGGGTTCAACAAGACTAGAAAGTTATTTCAAGGGTTCCTGTGTTGAAAAGGTTGAGAAAGGCTGACCAAAGGTAATACAATATGTTCTCTGGATGCATAGAGTTAGAGGCCAGAAGAGCTTCTACGCAGATGAGAAATGAACCTGGTGGTGGCCTCTTTAATCTGTGGGCTTCTCAAGCTCAACTCCAAACTCAAAGATTCACATGAGAAAACAAAGTAAAAATTAAGAGTGTGATTATCTATTTGTCAGGTAGTAGTTTTTCACATTCAGTTGGACTTGTTCTGTTATGTTGAAGATGTTTTGCAGCTTCTCCAATCCTTCTTTTATTCTAATGAGTGTCGAGAAACTAAAGTTTCTGAACTTGTAGAACTGGGGAAGTGCCTTGGAGAAGTTACAGAATGTCTGTCTTTTAAGTCCAGTTAAATTTGGCCAACTATTAGTAGCTATACCATAACCTGGATAAAGAAGACAGACAGATGGCTTTTTTGTTTTTTTTTGTTTTTTTTACTTTGTTTTCTCCCATGAATCCTTATGTGAGGAGTTGGGCTTGAGAAGCCACCAGATGAAAAGAGGACACCACCAGTCTTGTTTCTCATTGGAAAAGTTCCTCTGCAGCTATTGACTGTAGAAGTGCTTTTGAACTCTTCGTAACTGTCCGGTCTATGCATCTGGTAAGTGCATGTTATGGTGGTGGTCTCACTTCTCACGTTGAACTGGCACAGTGGGTTATGAGCAAGGACTCATGCAAGTAAACCAACAGAGTCTACCAACAACAGAATGAGGACAATCTGCCTGGTTTCAGTGAAGCCTAGACTAGATGGGGAATAATGTTGGCTAATCATACAGAAACCTTCCAAATCTTGGAAAATTTGTGCATGTGAGAAAATGCGTCTAGTAGTGAGGTAACCACCCTAGAATTAACATACGCACAGTCTAGGAGTCACTTGGTTTATCAGGTTGGACAACCCATTGGGTTCAGCTCACCTTGGCCAGGCTGGCAGTGAAGAGAACACACTCAAACATTTCCCCCATTCTTCTCAAAAACTCATCCACATGGGGCCTCTTCAACACATACACCTGGTGGAGGAGAAGGGAGGCCATTATGAAGGTCGTGGTAAGCTATTGGCTAAAGAACTGATTAGTCACTTTACATATCTACATGTATAAAGTATTGCCATGATATAATATACAGTGGCAGAATAATCAATAAAACAGTATCCTTTACCATTAAAAGGCAGTCTATGAGCTCCAGTCAAGTCATTTTTCCTAAGCACAGTCTGTCAAAGTAAGCCTGAGAGTAGCATCTTGGGAGAAGAATGGCACCTGCTTCCTGTAGACATGAGGAAGTGTCTTCTCAGTCTTCTATCCTCCAGTGATCAGTGTAATGTTCTGGTAGGTCCCCAAACATCAGAAAACAAGGGGAAGGTTGTGGGCTAAATTGTGTGACATTGTGATGGACTTTTACACACAAAAGTGAAAGAGTGAGAGGCAGCAGAGGGACTGAGCTTTGTGATTGTGATGGATTTTTACTCCGACTGGTCAGAGAGTGGAAGCCACACCACCACCAGTCCTTGGCCTTATCTGGAAGCACATGCATAGGTACGTAGTAGATGATGTGGCCTTGTGGGATTCTTACTTTTCTGTCTTCATAAGATGGACTTAGTGTGCAGCCAAAACTAAAACTATTAATTAAACCGACACAAATGACTATGTCAAGAGAACAAAAACAATGAGATTTTTTTTTTTAAGTTGAAGAATTCAGTGGCAATACATGCTGCTATGTCTCCAAACTGCATTCCAGCTTCACAGCGAATCCTGACGTCTAGAGTCGGCGCTGGCCGCAAGTAATCGAGATTAGGCTGAAAGGGGAAGTCCACAGCCTATCCTGGATTACTTGAATCCAGCACCAGCCTGGAGGGGAAGGCGGTGCTCAGGCCGAGGATCCTGAAACCACTGAACAGTATTGGATTAAAGTACCAAACCTAGTCAGAGAGAAAAAAAATGGAATGGAGAAATTGGCAATCGAACTGAGAAGAAAGAAAAAAAAAATATTTACCTGATGAACTGTTCATCAATCTCTACAGGAATGATAAAATCAGCATTGTTGACTGCTGCAAAATGAAATTAGATGTTATGGGGAGAGTAAAGCAAGTAGAGGTGATGCTTAACATTGGCCTGTAGGGGGCAGCAGTGCTCATTTTACAGGCAGAAGCCATTAACTCACTTTATACTTTGCAGTCCTCCCTATTAAAGTCGCATTAAACCCACAAACAGAAATGTAATAAATTGCTGCTTACCAATTCGTAGATGTGATGACTGTAAAATTTTTCTTTTTTACAGGTTTTTTTTGCTTTTATTTTTCACCTGGTAATCCTGCCACTAAGTGGGTTATTTGCAAAACTAGGGGGTCAATGGTGGAGAAGGATCTAGGGGTTCTGGGAGATCACAAGCTTAATAATGGCATGCAATGCCAAGCTGCAGGTTCTCTAAAGCGAGCAAAATCCTCTCTTGTATTAACAGAGGTATAGAATCCAGAGAGGTTTGGGCACCAATTCACAAAAAGAACATTGGGGAACTGGAGAAAGTACAGAGAAGGACAACCCAACTGATAAGAGGCATAGAGGAGATCAGCTATTATTATTATTATTATTATTATTATTATACAGGATTTATATAGCACCAACAGTTTGCTCAGCGCTTTACAATATAACGGGAGACAATACAGCAACAATCCAGATCAATACAAAAGGGATAGGAGGGGCCTGATCCTTGGAGCTTACAATCTAGGAATAAGGAAAGATAAGAGGAACTGAATTTATTCTCTCTTGGGAAGAGGAGATTAAGGAGGGATATGATCTCCATGTATAATACATAAGGGGGGATATGATCACCATGTATAATACATAAGGGGGGTGATCACCATGTATAATATGATCTCCATGTATAATACATAAGGGGGGGATATGATCACCATGTATAATACATAAGGGGGGATATGGATCACCATGTATAATACATAAGGGGGGATATGATCACCATGTATAAATACATAAGGGGGGATATGATCACCATGTATAATACATAAGGGGGGATATGATCACCATGTATAATACATTAAGTAGGGGATATGATCACCATGTATAACGACATAAGGGGGGATATGATCACCATGTATAATACATAAGGGGGGGATACATGATCATCCCATGTATAATACATTAAGGGGGGATGATCTCCATGATACAGGGGGGATATGATCACCATGTAATGGTATAATACATAAGGGGGGATATATATGATCACCATGTATAATACAAAGGGGGGATATGATCTCCATGTATAATACATAAGGGGGGATATGATTCCATGTATAATACATAAGGGGGGATATGATCTCCCATGTATAATACATAAGGGGGGATATGATCTCCATGTATAATACATAAGGGGGATATGATCACCATGTATAATACATAAGGGGTGATCTCCATGTATAATACATAATGCGGGGGGGATGTATGTATAATACATAAGGGGGGGGGGATATGATCTCCATGTAATATACATAAGGGGGATATGATCTCCATGTATAATACATAAGGGGGGATATGATCTCCATGTATAATACATAAGGGGGAGGGGTATGATCTCCATGTATAATACATAAGGGGGGGATATGATCTCTCCATGTATAATACATAAGGGGGGGGGGGGATATGATCTCCATGTATAATACATAAGGGGGGGCTTTCATGTATAATACATAAGGGGGGATATGATCTCCATGTATAATACATAAGGGGGGATATGATCTCCATGTATAATACATAAGGGGGATATGAACACCCATGTACAATACATAAGGGGGGGATATGATCTCCATGTAAAATACATAAGGGGGGATATGATCTCCATGTATAATACATAAGGGGGGATATGATCTCCATGTATAATACATAAGGGGGGGGGGGATATGATCTCCATGTATTAATACATAAGGGGGGATATGATCACCATGTATAATACATAAGGGGGGGGGGATATGATCTCCATGTATAATACATAAGGGGGGGATATGATCACCATGTATAATACATAAGGGGGGATATGATCTCCATGTATAATACATAAGGGGGGGATATGATCTCCATGTATAATACATAAGGGGGATATGATCTCCATTGTATAATACCATAAGGGGGGATATGATCTCCATGTATAATACATAAGGGGGGGGGGATATGATCCCATGTATAATACATAAGGGGGATTATGATCACCATGTATAATACAGAATGGGGGGGGTATGAATCTCCATGTATAATAACATAAGGGGGGATATGATCTCCATGTATAATACATAAGGGGGGATATGATCTCCCATGTATAATACATAAGGGGGGATATGATCACCATGTATAATAAACATAAGGGGGGGATATGATCTCCATGTATAATACATAAGGGGGGATATGATCTCCATGTATAATACATAAGGGGGGATATGATCTCCATGTATAAATACATAAGGGGGGATCAACCAGTGTATAATACATAATGATCTCCATGTATAATACATAAAGGGGGATATGATCATGTTAGAACCATGTATAATAATAAGGGGGGATATGATCTCCATGTAGAATATTACATAAGGGGGGATATGATCTCCATGTATAAATACATAAGGGGGGATATGATCTCCATGTATAATACATAATGTCTCCATGGGGGATATGATCTCCATGTATAATACATAAGGGGGATATGATCTCCATGTATAATACATAAGGGGGGATATGATCTCCATACATAAAGGTGGATAAACCACATGTATAATACATAAGGGGGGATATGATCTCCATGTATTAATACATAAGGGGGGATATGATCTCCATGTATAATACATAAGGGGGGATATGATCTCCATGTATAAATACATAAGGGGGGGGATATGATCTCCATGTATAATACATAAGGGGGGATATGATCTCACCATGTATAATACATAAGGGGGGATATGATCTCCATGTATAAAACATAAGGGGGGATATGATCACCATGTATAATACATAAGGGGGGATATGATCTCCATGTATAATACATAAGGGGGGATATGATCTCTATGTATAATACATAAGGGGGGATTTGATCACCATGTATAATACATAAGGGGGGATATGATCTCCATGTATATACATAAGGGGGGGATATGATCTCCATGTATAATACATAAGGGGGATATGATCTCCATGTATAATACATAAGGGGGATATGATCTCCATGTATAATACATAAGGGGGGGATATGATCTCCATGTATAATACATAAGGGGGATATGATCTCCATGTATAATACATAAGGGGGATATGATCTCCATGTATAAATAACATCAGTGGTTCATATAGTGAACTCTGTGTAGAGCTATTCCCCCTGAGGTCATCACAGAGGACAAGGGGGCGCTCTTTACGTCTGGAGGAAAAGAAATGTAATCTCCAAACACAGAAAGGTTTCTTCACACAAGTAAGAGCTGTGAGAATGTGGAATAGACTCCCTCAAGAGTTGGTTGTGGCCAGCTCAGTGGATTGCTGTAGGAAAGTCCTGGATTCTTTCTTAGATACACAGAATATAACTGGATATAACATTTATAGGTAAAGTTGATCCAGGGAATATCGGATTGCCTCTCGGGGAATCAGGAAGGAATTTTTTTTCCATGCAGCAGAAAATTGGATCATGGTTTGCTGGGTTTTTTTTTGCCTTCCTCTGGATCAACTGTGGGTATATAACTTGTTTTTTTTTGGTTGAACTGGATGGACTTTTGGCATTTTTCAGCCAGACTAACTATGTAACCTCCTCTAAACAGAACAAGCCCTCCAGCAAAATGGCAGTTTGAGGGTTGAGACAAACCATTTACCACTGACAGGGGAGTTCACAATGATCAGCTGTAAAAATTTTAACCCAAAAGGAAAAAAAAAATAAACAGTTGCAACAAAATACAGTATATTGATAGATGGCACTTTTGGATATAAAAAGATGATAAAATTCTAATATACAGTTGAAGATGCCTTATGATGTGGAATGTTGATATAAACTTTGGAGGGAATTGTGTAATGTAACAAATATATATATATATATATATATATATATATATATATATATATACACACACACACACACAACACATATTCTAGAAATGTTCTTATTTAACATATAACACATCATTTTATTTTTTTTTCAAATACAATATATATATATATATACACACACAAAATTAAATATATAACAAATAAATAATAAAACACATAAATATGCCGTTTTCCTCCCACACTTCAAAGACATGCTGGTAGATTAATTGGCTCCTGTCTAAACTGGCCCTAGTACGTGTATGTATAAAAGGGAGTTAGGGAATTTGGACTGTACGCCCCTTGAGGGCAGAGACTGATGTGAATGAACAATATATATGTAAACCGCTGCCAGAATTGTTGGCGCTATATAAGTACCTAAATTAAAGTAAATAGTGGTGAATTACTAACATCAAGATATGTGGGCATCTGTAAAAATATTAATTTTTCCTTTGTTTTGTGTGATGTAATTATTAAGCCGTGGAAAGTTTTATATCTTTATTCCAACTGGTGCATCTGCCCCATTAAAGCTGCAGCTTAGCTAACATTTGTTTTTTTTAATTCTCTACAGTTTTAGTTCCATCACTTTCCTGTAATGCAGGATGTACCACATTGTGCAGGTAGCTGGATTCTGGAGACATCTTCACTGAAGTGATGCCCCGTCCTCTTCCTTCCTCTGATCCTCTGGTGCTGCAATGGTTAACAGCTTCGGGCCTTCAGGCAGAACAGCAGTATAGATGATCCTTTTGAGACACGTCCCCCTTCCTTCTCCTCCAATGAGGTTCGGTGCTGCAATGGTTAACAGCTTCAAGTCTTCAGGCAGAACAGATGATCCGATGGAGACATGCCCCCCTTCCCTCGGCTTCAACGAGTATTGGTGCTACGGTGGTTAATAGCTTCGGGTCTTCAGGCAGAGCAGCAGTACAGATGATCCAATGGGGACATGCCTCCTCCCCTTTCCTCTCCTCCAATGAGGATTAGTACTGTAATGGTTAA